AACCCTAAACCCTAAACCCTAACCCTAACTATAACCCTACTTACTAAGTCCCATAATCCTTTCAGTACCCCAAGCACACCCTAAACCCTAAACCCTGAACCCTAAACCCTGAACCCTAAACCCTAAGCCCTAAACGCCGAATCTCTCGACTTCTTCAGCGCCCTTCGAGACCCAGCTCTCTGAGCCCCGGACTCCAGGCGCTTGCTTTGGAACAAGAAGCCCAGCGCCCCTTAGGGCCCTGCTTGCGGGGTTTAGGGTTTAGGGTTTAGGGTTTAGGGTTTAGGGTTTAGGGTTAACAGTGTAACATGGGGGCCCTCATAATTAAACCAAGGATGTGGGGCAGATCATAGTATAAATATGGCAGATGTATGTCTCAGTGAACCTGAAAACCAAGACCCAGTTTAGGAACCCCGAAACCCAAAGCCTGCATTCCTGAACCCTTAGCAACAAAAACTCCCAAACGCACCTGACGCTCACCAGCAAATTTCAGGAGGGCCAAAAGGGCCTGGCCGAGAAGACGGTGCGGCTCCTCATGGATCAGGCGCTTAGAGCTCTGGCCCCGTGGCGTGATTAATTCGAGGACTCCGACATGGGTTTAGGCAACGGTGTCTTTGAGGGTTTCTGAAAGGAAGCTTAGTGTAGTTTAGGAAACATGGGAGTTTCAAAAACAATCTAACATCGACGCTAGCCCGGAGGATATCTTGTTTAAGACGCCTCAGAACGAGGCTTACCAGGTACCTAAGCCCAAAACCCCTGGCTTTAAGGAACTGCCGCGGTCCAAAAAAACTCGGAGGGTTTTGTGGAGGATGGAGGATCCAGTTCGCTTCAGACAGCAAATGTACATGCTTGCTTCAAGGGTGGAGACGGAAATCTGCTTCGGATAGTCAGTTGAGCTTGGAAGCCCCAAACGTCATAATCAGATTATAGGAACCCGAGAGAAGTTGAAGGACGCAAGAAGGCCTCATGCAGCCCCCCACCCCATCAAGGACCGAGCAGCACCCCGATCCCTTGAGGTTTACATCCACTCCGAGTGCGTCATCCATCGGGATGTGAAGCCCTCCAACATGATCCTCACGCGACTGGCACCTGGGAAGGCACTTGTTGATGTGAGTTTTACTTCCGTTTTGCTGAGTTTTCCGGTTGATGGCCACGTTAAGTTTGGTTTTTATGGGTAGTTCTGGTGTTTAGGGCCCGAGAGTTGTAGAGTCTAACAGGTTTGGGCCCTTCGGGTTCGGGATTCACAAGGGTTTCTATGTTGCGCTTTAGGACGTGGGTCAGCTCTCTTTCTGAGCCCCGATGGTTACAATGCTCGAAGACTTTGCTGCTCTAGTGTCGGCTGAACATGACTGCAGAATCAGTTGTGATGAAAATGCTAGGAGGTTGCCATGGTGACGAACAGTCCTCCCCCATATCAGGCTTAAGACCTAGACCTTGAATGCTGAAGCCGAAAACCGCGTGCATCGCAGCAGCCAAGGACCAGCATCCACCCCACCTGCTGTTGGCGGACTTCGGAATAGCCGACGTCTCCTGGCCCAACTTAGCCAAGAGGGTTTCCTCCATTGCCGTGGAGCTTAGCAAGCCATGCATATTTATATCATGATACCTCACTGGAAAAATAGGTGTGGCCGTCTCGTCCCTACAAAGGTTTGGACAAGATATCATTTGCGCTTACAGGGCCTCAGCCACACTCTTTTAGGATGAAGTTTTACATTCGGAGCACATGCTGCCTTTGGAGCAGAGGAATATCCGTTAAACCATATTCAAGATCTGCAGTCTAAGGCAATCTATTGATATTCTGGACTTCGTGAAACCCCAAACCCTAACCCTACACCCAAAGCCCAAACTAGAACCGTGCAACTTTGGCACGGTGTCCTTGGGCTCCGCCCTGCATAGTTGTATCCCAATATACGTATAGACATGTATGTATGTATGTATGTATGTATGTATGTATGTATGTATATGTATATATATATATATATATATATATGTATAATATACACACCAATATATGGGTTTCAATAGTATATATATATATATACCCATATACTTATATATATATATATATATACACACATGGACGTACATATTGATATACTGACATGAGCCAAGTGTGTGCACATAAGCAGATACAGCAAGCAAGTTGTTTCCGAAGGTCTTCAAGCCCGACAGCGCCACCAGCCTGACGCCGCGCAGCTGCTTAGAGTAAGTGCACCGGATGGCCTAAATCCTAAATCACTTCTTGAGCGTTGTTGATTTTGCGTCAGACATCATACTGTATCATACTGTCATACAGTGTGATATATACCTTTCAAGACCCAAACCTAGCCGCCAACGGAGGAGCCTGGCTAGAAACCTGCGTGCCCTGTGCCCTAAGGAAGAAGGGAACTTGGGCCTACATGGCTCCGGAGATTTTCGAAGACGTCATCACGCCCAAGATCGACATCTGGGCCCTGGGGGTAGTGCCTCAGCGATTGTTGTGTGACATTGAAGCGATATTCAGTAGTCGGTCTGTTGTTTTCTGTGGAGTTGCTTGCCTCGTCGATCGCTATGGTTACGTACAGTTAACTGAAGAGCACTCGTTTTCCCGTCCCTCTTACACTGGGGAGAAGTAGACTTAGAAGTGGTGGTGGTGGTGATGGAGGTGATGGTGGCTAGCCGTCCCGAACAGCCTGCATGATGGACCCAAAAGCCTGATGCCTAAATCCTTAGCCTTAAACCCTGAACCTTACGATTACAATTTTTAGTATTATTGTTATTAGTGTTCTCATTTTATCATTTTAGTTGTTATGTTTATTATTACTATCATTATTATTATCATTACTGTTGGTATTACACTTAGTATTGCATTATGAGTATTCTTACCGCTACTCTTACTCTTATTATCATTCATCTTCTTCTTCTTCTTATCATGAAAACCCTAAACCCTAAACCCTAAACCCTAAACCCTAAACCCTAAACCCCTAAACCCTAAACCCCTAAACCCTAAAGCCCTAAACCGGAATCATTGGAGAAAGCACCGCGCCCCTGAGTTCGCAGGTGGCCTTCGAGCTCCTCTCGGGCAGCCGGCCCTTTGGCCAGACGCCCTTCGAGGTTCAGGCCGGGCTAATATGTATATACAATTATATTATATTATATTATATTATATTATATTATATTATATTATATTATATTATATTATATTATATTATATTATATTATCTTATATTATATTA